AAAATAAAATAAATACAAATAACTTATAACTTAATTAAAAACTGATGTCCAAAAGATAGTCAGATAAGGGTTTTATATACAGAGTTTTGCGTGACTTTATATTTATAACATAATTAAATGATTATAACTATTAGGAAATGAAGGCCAATATTAATACCCATTACCAGGCCTTTTGGCCGGCGGTCTCGTCGATGACGACATAACCTTGGTTCTTTAAGTCGGTGAACGTGACGTACTGTCCACTGCCCATACCCTGATCATCGTAGGCCAGCCCATCACCGCCGGCGCCAAAGTCATACTGAGCGGCGCCCCCGTCGTCGTGACCCATCTCGAAGTCGCCGCCTTCGTAGCCGCCCTCAGCCTCACCGCCATAACCGCCGTCACCACCGCCTCCACCGCCGCCCGAGTACTTCTTGGGCGGAGGCGGAGGGGGTTTTTTCATCTCCTTTTTGTCCCATTTGGACGCCTTATAAGTGGACGGCTTCTTATGCTCGTAGAAATTCATGCCTTTGTTCTCTTTGCCGCCGCTCTTGTATTGTTTGCCCCAGTCTTGGAATCCCTGGAAATGTAATTGGGTTAGGGTAGTTTGAAATTTGTTATTTATCATAGTGTTTTGTGTGGTTATTTACCGATTTGCCATTGTTCATTTTTTTGCCGAAGTTGTCTTTGCCTCCCATGTCCTTTTTGTTGTAGCCGTGCTTTTCTCTATTTGTTTAGTGAATTGTATTGATTTAATCAAATAAATTGGTTTAATTTAATCTGAATTATGGTTATAGTGGTTTAGTTGTACTAACCCGTGTGCGCTGTCGTATTTAGACGTATCACTCTTGCCTTTCTTTCCGTATGAGTTTTTATGTCCGTCAGACTTATCGTATTCATAAGATTTCTCGTATCCCTTCAATACAATTATTACATTAAATAACATTTTTATAATTCATAAATTTGTATAAATTAAAACATAATAAACTCATCGATAATTTCAAAAATAAACATGCTGAAAATAATTCAAAATTCAGATATATCTTAAAATATACTGAACATAGCTCTAAAATTGTATAGCCATCTAATCCATAAATTAATTAAAATAGAAATAAATTAATAATTAAAGTAGAATGGTAACATACCTTTCCCTTATCGGTCTTCCACTTGGCGTCGTTCCCCCACTCCTCAAAACCGCCGGCGTTTTTTTTCCCCGAATCCTTTCCCCATTTGTCTCCGTATTGATTCATATCGTTTTTATTCCACTTATTAGTCCCCCACTTATCCCCGGAATCGTACTTCTTATGGCCCTCTTTGCCCCAATCGGCGCCCTTTTTGTCCCATTCATTGCCACTGTATTTCTTGGACCCCTTATCAAAGCCCCCTTTCATCCCTTTGCTCA